CATATGAACTCAGTTTTTGACTGAGTTTCTTACAGCGTGACTCCAGTTCCAGTTTCTGCACTTACTTGTACCTTGGCTCCCTCTCCATTAACTACAGAGCAACACTGACTGTTCCAAAGCCAGGTCTAGGGCTGGCCCAAGGCAGATATCAGAGGCTGTGATTCTGTGATTATGGATATGGTGAATGTTTGGGTGAACAATCCACCCTCTGCACACAGTGGAGGTGGTGCAACAGGAGGAAGAACAACCTTTGCTCTCTGCTTCCTCAGAAGCTTAAAAGATCAGCTGCCTTTTATCTACTTCTCTACCCATCACTTACAGGAATTTCCTGGGACACATGTTGACCCCAATGTCTGGATGCCTCAGTGAGAGCAGTGCTGTGCCACTGAGCAGAAATAGCAAGCACTATGGCTCTGTCTAGGCAACTTGCTTAAGTGAGAAAGAAGGAAGAGTCTGAAGTGAAGCTTTCCAAATTAAGTTTGGAGGGCTCAGGATATTCCCAAATATCTCAAAGAATGCCACAAATCAAAGATTTCTCTCAGATGTAAACCAGGCATGTTACAGTCCATCTGTGTTAAACAATTTAAAGCCACTGGAAGAAAACATATTGCTTTAATCAAATGTATAAGAAAGAACTAGACTTGATTACTTCAGCAAGCAAGCCCTGCTACACACCAAAGCTGCTGGAGTTGGCACTGCATGATGTGCAGTGGGCACAGAAGCACTACTGCTAGGTGGGGACAAGAAGCAATGGTAAAGAAACCGGAATGAACACCGTAATTGTGCAAGTTTTGTTCTCTGCTACTCAGATGGCTTTCACCTTCCTTCCCATTCTTGAAAGCTGTAGTGACACTTGTATATTCTCCTCTCCTTTGACACGGATAGAGGAATTCAGGGTTTCTCCCTTCCATCAGAAAAGCACTGCCCATGGCCTTGTTGAAGCCAGCTGAGGTTGGTCGGCATGCTGGGCTCTCCTCCACAAAGCAGTTTCTCAGAGACCAGCTTCCCATAAAATTTGAGATCTACAGCAGGTAAAGGGCACAGAGAAAAGAGAGCCTGGGTCTCCCCCTTCATACATGCCAAACTTTGATAGCAATTCCAAAAACATCACAATACTGTGAAAAAGTGAGGAAGAGTATTGCCTATTAACTAATTGCAAAGATAGTGTGAATTAGCCCATTCTTGTTTTCTTCTTGTTGTTTTCCCTCCAATTTAATCCTGAAGCACACTGACAATGTGAACTATCACATTCACCCCGCTGAGTTCTGCTCTTGGGAACTGGTGTAACCAATATGCTTATATAACACCAAGCATCATAAAGCCCTGTTCTTAGTTGATGTCCCAGCTGTACATGCTAAAAGGAGTTTTGTCACCAGACTTTTTATAAATGGAGGCTCATGACTTCACAGAAGATTACAAACCTACACAAAGATAAGACAATTTTACTTCAAACTGAACCGTGAAGATCTAAACCAGACAAGAAAGCAGGGCTGCTGAAAACGAAAGTCTTCCTTGTCTAACTCTCAGCATAAATGCAGCTTGGTGCGCACTGTTATTTCAGTCAGTCTTGGCTCCTACCCAGTACTTAAAAAAAAATAATATAAATCATAGCTAACGTGCAGCATGATGGGATAGTCTCTGGCTAGGGACATTCAAGCAGTTAATTTAACTGTCACATCGGTGTCCTGTAATAGTGCAGTTTTAGAGGCTGGCTCACTGCAAACAACTCGACACCACTCACAAGGAAAGCCATTTCAAGATTTAGCTGAAGAACATACTGAGCCTGGAGGACTAAGTCAGAAGCAGTTAAAACAAGGTTAGCAGAATCGCTCAAAGTCCTCTCTCATTTTTCTTGGCAAATCCAGAGGATCTTTTAATAGAAATATCATTTTGGCAAAGTGTTCTTAAGACTCAAAAGGCGTTTGTCAGACAGCTTTTTAACAAAGGAAGCTGAATGGGGAGAAATGCAATGAATTTCTCCGTTAAGGAGGCTAAAACTTCTGAACGGTGTGCCAGCATGCTCATCAGGAGATGCAACTGTTAAAAATGGGCTCTAACAGAGCCGTGAATGGGCACAGCACTTTGTTTACTAGAGCAAATACCCTTTTCCTTCCTCAACAGTGACTAAGCATGGACTTGTACCTCAGCTTTGTCTATATTTATTGTGGCCTGGACTACCTGACACCACTGTCGATAGCCTTTATTACTTCAACGGGCTAGTGAATAGAATGAAAACATCAATCAACAGATGTAAAAAAAAAAAAAAACCAACAGGGAAATAAATTGAGCCACCATCTGATACTGCACAGTGCCTCATGCACCATCCAGGCCACAAATGGAGTGGCACAAAACTGTTACACAGGCTCACAAGCAGCAGCAGTCCCCGCTATTTAGCATTTGAGCACTTAACTGTGCTAGCTTAAATGTCTTAATGTGTTCTATCATATATTTAAAACAGAATAAGGAAGAGGTCTCTGCAAATGCACTTACTTGAAATACACAGCTAACAAATTACTATCCAAATTCTGCCAGACTTAACAGTATTTCCTCCTCCCACTCATACTTTCCTCCCAGTTCTGTCCTGAAATTCATACTGTCAATCAGTTGCAGACATTTCTTACAGTCTAGATTTTTTCCTGGCTTTCTACCTTCAAAGATTTGCATTTTGTGAGCACCAAAACAAAACCCATCCACACAATACCCCAAAGTTGACAGTTTTGAAGCATCTCATTAGTGGCATCATTTTAACACCTCAAAAGACACTTTTTCTTCTTTTGCCTACTTGCACATACAATGATTATCTTCCTAAACCTCTTTACCTACATATCTCTTTTGTAGGGAAAATACTTAGAATAACCCAACTAATCAAAAGCCCAATTCCATTAGAAAAGATGTTAAAATGAAGCTTTGTTTTGATCACTGCCCACTCACCTGCTTTTTTTTTTTTTGGTTGCTATTCAGCCTACTTCAGGACCCAAGTCCAACTGCTTTAAAACTCAACTCAGGATACATGGCAACAAATAGCAAATGAATTCCAGTAAAGACTGATGAGCCTCATGCTTTCTAGGTATGCATGCAAACATTGCAGCAAGCACTTTGACACTTCCCTAAGACACATTTAATAATGAAATGTTTGGACTGGAATCTACAGAATCTAGTAAAACACTCAAAACCACCACTAAGATTACTGCAGGTTCAAGAATAGAATGCATTTCCTCTGGTGAGCAGCTCAGAAAATGTGAAAGAAACCCTTCTAAAAGACTTGTATTGCACAGCACACGAGCAATTTACCCATCTCCCATGCTGTATTTTCAAAATGCCTGATCCTGGACTGGGATCTTTGAGCTACTTCTTACTTGATTCACAACTAGAAGATTAGCAATGCCATTCAACTTGTGGTATACACAGTTGTTTCTGGTCCTCTTAGAGCAGAGCTGCAGCACACAATTACTCATCTCAGATAGGTCAAACATATTTCTGATAAAAGGTTATGGTCATTTACCAATCTAAGTAGGTATGGAGAAAAAAAGAAGGCAGTTGCAAGCTGTCCTGTCATCTCAACTCTACTCTGTTTTGACGTTCTTGAAAGAATTCTCTCACACAGGTCCAAAAAAGCCTGAGGGGAGCCAAAAGGGAATTATCATTTAATTCTGACAATCTGTCTGGAAGACATTAGGAATGTGCCTCTGCTCTAAAGAGGAATTTCAGAACATTAAGCCAAGAACCAAAAATGCAGTCCTATACAATGAGACCTTCCAGTGCATGGTGTCCACCTTAAGCAGTACCTCACTCCTTCGCTCACACTTCAGCTGGCCTACAAAATCAGTATGCTATGCCATGACCTACTGGGTCACCTCTGTGGAAAGCAAACAGGAAGATATCAATACAGTGAACTCCAAGCCACCAAGACACCATATTCAAACCCCGAGTGCCAAGCAGACCCTGGCTCAAGCATTGTAAAAACATGTTCCTGCCATCTCCTTCCCATGCAAGTTAGAGCAATTTTCCCAGAAAGGGACCAAACCAATTTTTTTTTTTTTAAACTAAATGCTTTTAATAGAAAACAAAATACAAAATAACTCTTTCCAGAAAGCAGAAATATTTAATCTCTCTAAGTGACAAATTAGAACGTGCTTTTTCTGCAGATCCTTGTTTTAAATGCTGATGATTTATTTCACAAAGTGTTCATGAAACTGATATTGCAACATTTGGAGAAAAATCCAACACTGGCAAAGCTGCCTCTGCGTATGCACAATAATTTAGTAATACTATTTTTTCCCATGTCACTTTGTGTGTATGTCTCTCCCCGTCCCCTTCTTCCTAGATTGCCAACTTCCTTTTACGGAAATATTTCTGTGAGGTGCAGTGGTAGACTGACATGTCTTGCTTCAATTAGGAGTCCAAACTTAGCCTCTTCTGTTCCATCGTGCCTTCCTCCAGCCAAAGCAAGTCATGTATTACCCTTAAAGCCACCGCCCCTACCCCTCACTGTTCTCCCATCCTCAAAACACAGTGCAACCAGATTCAGAAAGATCCCTCATTCATGGAACATAAATACAAATATCACAGCTAGTACCAGGAATCAAACTCAAACAACAATGCAGAGACGTGCCTGTACTAAGGTCAGACTTCCATCCTCTTATTAAAAAGAAAGAAGGTATTTTCTGCTTAGCTAGTCCAAAATATTGCAGAAGTGCAATAAGGAGCTGTAATATTTGGGACCGCAATGAGTGTAGAAAATACATAATGTTCTTTTAATATAAGGGTCTTAAAATGCTGGTACTCTGCAGTACCGAGAAAAGAAAACAAAACACACTGGGCCAGTAGTTCTCCACACGCTCAAGCCTCAGTTAGCAGTAGATAAGATGTGCCCATCAATCAATGCAGGACATTTAAGTGCAGGTCAGCAGCTTATCTGGCTGGCAGTTTCACTTGTCTGGATCACACTTTTGGTTTCCCCTTTTCCTCTCCTACAAATACAGGAATAGAACATACATGCATTTTCATCACTCTTCCTTTTTCTTTACTCCATTTAACAGCACAGGCCTTTTTGTGGGCATGAAATTTTAAAGCATTTGCATCGCTCTGAATGTGCCTTTCAAGGGGACAGAGGAAGAAAAGTGTTTCACAGTCAGTAATCTCAGCTTGTAATGGACTCTGGCATTCAACACCCCCACCCACTTCCCTAAGGAAAAGAAAAAAATTAATGTTCCTGATTTTCTTGTGCAATTCCAGTCACTAGAAGAAGATTACAGGCCATAAACTGTACGCTCAGTACATTATTCATTTGTCCAGTATATACACCAACCAGTTCACTGGAAGACCCATCGGCAGGGGCATTGCAGTACGTGTTACGGATGTCCCAGACCCGGACAGAATTGTCCATCGAGGCTGAAGCAATTAAACTACTGTCAGGGCTAAAAGTAAGGCTGGTTATGTTGTCCGTGTGCCCCCTCAGTTCTTTGTAGAGAGTTCCTGAAGCCAAGTCCCACAGCTTTAGCCGCTGGTCTTCACCCGCCGAGGCCAAGTACTTACCATTGGGAGAAAATGCAAGTGCCAGCACGGGGCCACGATGCCCAGTGAACAGGCGCACTGAGTTGCCTTGCTGAGTGCTCCATAAGCGCACAGTCTTGTCTGTGGAGCCTGTCGCTAAGTAGTTGGAATTGGGGTGGAACTTGACACAGTCTACATCCAATAAGTGGCCTGCATATATTCGCAGAGGGTACGTCCGATCAAACGACCAGAGTCTTGCGGTGCGATCATGGGAGGCGCTGGCAAAGTACAGGCTGCAGGGACTGATGTCCAAATCCCAGACGGGGTAGGCATGTCCTTGGTACAACACAGTGTTTGTGAAACTTCCGAGGTCCCAGTATCTGATGGACATGTCCTCAGAACAAGACAAAAGTCCTGAGCTGTCTGAAAGGAACCTGGTGCTATACACAGGCCCGCAGTGTCCCCTCAGGATTTTCATTTCCGTGCCTGCGCTGTCATCTTCTTCCTCCTGGTCAGGAAGTGGAAAAAAAACAAACAAACAAAGAAAAGCATGTTTATCTGTTCAGCACATACAGAAAAATAAGCTGGCATTAACACAGAAGAATTTATTTCAGACGTGGCACATTTTGTGCAGCTCTAGGACACAAATGCTGCTAGTGCATTTGGTATCAGTGCTAAAAGAGTTGCTGAGATGAGACTTATATAAGAGGTTTCACCCTCATTTAGCGTACCCTCACGCCTGCTCTAGAAGGCGTGAACCCAGAACCATACGAAAAATGAAGAAAAAAGCAGCATTTTAGGAAAGCTTTCCAAATGTCTGTTGCTTTAAAACACTTGTTAAAAACATCTGCTAATTCCCTATCCACTCTCTACTAAAGTTTTGGCTAAGATGTTAAAACAGATCTTGGCATCTTTCTTTTTGGTGTGGTCATTCTTGGAAGTAAAACTCGCAGTAGAGAAAAAGAAGCCCAGATGTCTTAAACAAAAGGCAGGAGGCAGAAGGACGAGGCCAATGTGACAAGTTGTGTGCTGGACATTCCTTCTCAGCCCCACACCTTAACAGAGATCCAGTAAGGTCATAGTATATATTTCTCTGTGCCAGCACCATCAGGATGCTTTTACACCCCCACCTTTCATGAACAGCAAATGCACGCATCTTATTGAGGCCGAATAATCTATTTTGGGGTAGGAGAAGATAAGTAATCACAAAAAGGATTGCAATGGAAACCTTTTCATTCTGCAGTTCTCCAAATCAAGCACCACAGCAGATCATCAACAATTAAAGGCTTTTACATTTTAAAAACTTCAGTGAGCTGTGCTAAAGGAATTTGAGCATTTTACTCCTTCTCAACAGAGGCGGTCTATAGGAGTCTGCTCAAGCAGCACCTCAATAATCAAAGACTACAGACTGCACAAGCTGCAACAAATCTCAACTCAAAACAGTGCCCTTGCCCAGCAAATCGCAGTCTCACCTCAGTGAGAGCACAAGAAGAGAACCACGGCTTGGGACGCATCTGCTTGAGACCATCCTTCCTTGGGATGGTCTTGCAGATGCTTTCAAGCACTAGTGAATCAGTAACGCCTGCCTATGGACAAGTCTGCATATGCAACTCAACACGATGCCCTTTTGTTTGTGAGCAGCCTCATGAACTTTTATCACTGCACACCGGTCTGTTTCCTGCAGAACAAGCACTTCCTGCCCTGAGAGGAAACTCAGCTCCCCAGGGCTGTCAATGACCAGCAGAAGCCAGCACACAGAATGTGGCTCTCAGCTCACACAATCACCTCTTAGGGCTGCAGGACCTCAGGAACCACAGTTTGTCAGCATTTACCTCCATCCCTCAAAGCCCTTCTCATCCAACAGCTTAAAAGCCCACTCACAAAAGTGAGCACACTGTAACTCTGCTAGCTTGCTGTCTTCCTCCATCCCAGTTTTGTGCTCAGTGGTAGGTGGCAAGCAATGTTTAATAATGCTAATTCTCTTCAGAGTAGTCAGCGCCCATGGGAGTTTTATGATGTGGCTGTGAGCCAACCCCATCTCTCATGGAAGGTGAGGCACGAAGAAATTACAGGCTCTAGCACGCAAAGCCCCATTCTTATTCAAATTGCTTTTTCTGCTTCAGATAGAGCACTGCTTGCTGGAATCCACAGCATCTCTTTTAATACGGTAACGGCCTAGAATGCTGATACCTACAGTGTTTTATCCTATTTAACTATGACCAAAAGATCCCTAACAAATTTCCAATAGAAGTCTGTTCAAGTTCCCTATACTGTATTACAGTTTTGGTAAATTCTGCAAGTCCAGGTATATAATTCTATGCTTTCAAATTCATACAGAGCTACCTGCAAGAACATATACTTTTGCTATTACAAGCACATGCTCTTCTTCTCTTATACTAAAGCAGCAGCTGATTTGAAAATGCCTGCCTAAGAATTCAAAAACCACACTTCCGTATGGGCACAGGTAGCAAATACTATCTTTCTCTTCTGTTTGATACTCAGTGAAACAACTGCACATTTCTGTTATAGTTCACTGAAAATGGTATACCTATAATGCTTCGAGTCACTACATTCTTCCTTTTCCTTCCTGTAAGTTAGCCTGCTAGCCAGAGCAGGCTAAATTTACAAGTTATTTACATCTAAGGTAAACAATACCCTACAGATTCAGTAAAAGCTACCTTTTATTTTTTGCACTCTCCGTTTTCAAAAGAATAACTATCAGAAAATATTTATAGTAATGGGACAGAACTGGAAAACCAACACTACTGAAGTGAACATTAAAAAAAACAAAAAAAAACTACTCATCAGTAGCGAGTAGGAAATCATCCTGAGCTAGTACAAAACACCCCAAAACTACTTTTTGTTCTTTTCAGTTTGTTAATGCGTTGGCATGTTTTATTATATAGCACACCTTCCAAATGAGACACCTGTAGACAGACTACCCAACACTTCAGTTATTGCTTAAATCAACAAATGACTTTGACAGGATAGTCATCTGAATTCAGAAAATGCAAATGTTTCACTGCATTTAACCTTGTGAGCAGCAAACCTTACCTAGCCTTCTGTGCAGCATAAGCATCAAGGGAATGCCAAAAAAAACCCAAACAGAACAAAAAGCCATCCTTCGTCACCCCAAAGGGACTTTCTTTTACTCTAAGCAGTATCAAGTTTCTCTGAATATCATTCTTCTCTCTCATCCTGTCAGGATGGAAGATCTCTTTTCTGCCTACAGTAGGTATCTCCTAGCAGGGAAACACAAGGAGGTAGATACCAAGGCTCTCCTTGCAGGACATTTTTACTGCTTCTTCCTGCATCGCCTCCTCTGTCTGCCACCCACCAAGGTGTCAGTACCATTCCTGCTCACTGCCATCTCAAGGACTGCTGCCACTCACTCTCTTAAAAGTAGAACCAAACAGGGTCAAATCTTAGCCTTCACAGAATTTAAAGGCTTTTCACTCTTATGGCTATTTGGAATAAAGAGTGTAATTTTCTGTTGATGATTGATGGAGCACCAGTGATGAGCATGGCAAACAATAAGGCCATTCACACTGCTGCAGAATTGCATTTTGTACTGGTCTCTAAGCAAGAGAGACTATGGAGTGGCATCTGTGAAATGACACTATAAATAAAATGGAATTCATGCCTAAACGGTAAGCCTCTCCTGTTTCCAAGAACCAAGCCAATACTGGCAAAGTGTATTAGGGCATCACACTGAGCAAAATTCACTAAAAATACAGCTAATAGAAAACTGACTTTACTGACATAAAGGCTTTAAGAGACTAGGAAAAGCTACTGATCTCTTTTGCCAAATCACAACTTCACATGTATAGACATGCAAAAGGAGTTAATAAACCCAGTAGTGTCACTTCAGTGCCATTCTGAAAGAGATCCACTGAAGCTATCGCAGTCCCAGACCTCTATAACTTCTTAAACTGCATGACTAATATGCTTGCAGCAGATCAGAAACCAAGCTGAAGGCTGATTATTTTGAGCACTACTTAAATACAGCACTGCATCCCAATCCAATTACACTATACAGAAGTCAAACAGAACAAAATAAAGAAACCCTACAAAAAACAGTGAAGTGTCACATCCTCACAAGTTATTTTACAGAACTCGATGCAGTAATGTCAACGCACTTCATACTTTTTTGTTGCCAAAGTTCCCATCAGATTTATTGCTGTGAACTGCTGCTGATCAGACTGCCACGATGGTCTGAAACAGAGCTTCCACTCAAACTGAGCTGCACTGCTGATGACTGCAGCCCAGCAAGAATAGTCTCATTCAAGTTGGCTTGATATCTGTGCCTTCCACCTCAGTGGCACATGTGTGGCACCTCAGTAAGGCAATATCCATGTGTAGATATTGGTCTGTTTCTACCTTTGATCCCGTGAGTACCTCTGTGGGCATGCACTTGCTGCTCTCTGATACAGGAATTTGTTTCCTTTGCAGTCCTTAGGCTTTCATTTGCATTCAAAGATGTGAAACCAATGATCTGCTGAGGCTGATGTTTGCCCTCAACTCTGAACTCCTGGTCAGGTCACTATTTATTTTGTCAGTGATGAAATTATTCAGGGCAATGATGACTTTGATTTGTGCTGGTCTTTGACCAGTTTTTCAGACTTGTGCATAAATACTGCAGGATACACAAGATCTTAAAACAAACAATCACATTTGTTTGTAATTAAGCTTCTGTGGCTATTTTATAATATATGTAAAATATGCAAATACATGCCAACAAAAAGCTAACATATACTCCTGACAGCTTGGCAATATCCCACTTTCTAAAGTCTGGAGTCAAAGAAGGTGACCTGCTAATTTACCAGATAAATTTTCTTTGTCACAGGTTATTTTCATTTATTTTTCCCTGAAAGGCAATCCATAGCCAAATGTCCTAGGAACTTCTGCAGCTTATCATGACAACAAATCCATAGCTCCACCCTGGGTTAGTGTGACCTGTTCACTCAGCAGAAGGGTTTAACCAGAGAAGTGGTGAACACATTGCTGTGCTGTCTAACCTGGACATCTGCCTCTAGTTCTCAAGCTAACTAACAAAGCAATCTCAACTCATATACCACATCATACACCAAACTACGCGCTCTTCAAAAATAAACAGAACCTTGCCACCACGTAGTTTTCTATGAGTAGAAAATAAAACAGCGGGGGAAAAGAAAAAAGGATGTTTCTGCTAAATGCACAACAGAAGAACAATTGAATGCTTCCCCCTCCCTGCAAGACAAGAGTGATTAAACAAAGGAAGAGTTACAAACTGATCTCTAACCAGATATAAGATGCTACACAGGCAGTTGTGGTGAGAGAGGAGGGAGGGTGTGACTAGAAGTTAAAAGAAAAAGAAAGAAAACTGGAAGATGTTATCTAGCCTGGCATGCAAAGGCATAGATATCCCAGTCCTCATCTTTAGCACTCCAGCACAAGTGAGAATTATCTGAAGCTTCTACACTACTGATTCCTTAATGCAGACACGCTGTATAATTTTTCCATAACTCCTCACCTCTTGCTAGGGTGACTCTTTACATACAGTTTTTCACTTAAACATACTTTTTACATCTGAAGCCTCAGATCGACCTTCTCTGGTTCTTTCCTTACTTTATCATCTTCTTCCCATTTCTGCCTCCTTTTCACCACCCTTCTGATGCTTGTTTTGAACCACTTCTAGTTTTCACTACAATGTGTTTTTACTTTCCATATTTCCTTGTTTCATCTTCCCACCCACAGAAGAAGGCTCTGTGCTACACAGCAAAAAGCCTTCTCCAGTGACCTGTCTGTACTGGGCTGCCTCTGCACTGTGATCTCTTCAAGGACAGTAAAAAGAGGGAGATCTGCACCTAGGACTAATGAACTGTGACCTGAGCACATTGTCATTACACCTCAGTGCAGCATTTTACAAGCAAGGCAGGAAAGAATAGGGGTGAGAGGAGGCTGTAAGGGGGGGTGAGTCAAGGCAGACAGGCGACAAAGAGACTCACAGTTTCCTGCAGCACTATTAGATATTCAATACGAAGCCCAAATACTCCTCAATAGAAAGGGTACTGAGAAGAAAGAAAAAAAAAACAAAAACAACGTATTCAGACCTCCTCATCCAGGATGTCACAAGCCAGGCGGATGCGGGACACATCAACAAGATGGGGCTCAGATTTTAACTTCTTGGAACGCAGGCTCCACAGCTTAACGCATGAATTATCAAACCCAGCAGCAAGCAGCTTGCTATTTGGTGAAATCTCTGCCGTGTTCAGCAATTGCTCTGTGTTATAGAAGGCATAGAAGCAGATGGTTGTTAAGGAAGGGGGCCCATCCTTGACACGTTTAATGCTGTCCTGCAGTAATTCCAACGCTGCCTCATTCTGCAAGATGGAAGCTGGCACCTCACTGGGCTCCAGCCCGTTGCTCTCATTACGCGAGGAGCTCCCACTGGCGTAGAGCTGGTAGTCGGTCCTCTTGGAGGGCTGCACATCCAGGTGGATGTGCAAGGTCAGGACTTTGCACAGGGCGTTGTTGTTGTCACTTTGGAGGTAGCGAAGAAGGTAGTTGTAGCTGTCCTCTTGAAGGCGGATGACGTACTTGTTGTCCAGAAAAGCCCGGAGCTTCAAGTTGGACAGGATATCTTGAATAGTCATGGTAGTCTGTAACTGCTCAATGATATCCTTCTGGCTGGCATTCTGCAAGAACATGCCATGGAAGCGGCTGTAAAAACTGTCCACTGTGCTTTTTAGGCCATTCTGGACCATGTTCAGATGGAGGTAGACAAAGAGGGGATACAGAAGAGGCATCACTTCATGGCTGTGCTGAGAATCTGAATCTATAGAGAAAAGAGCAAGAAACTTTGAGCACTTTCTCAATCCACTTTCTAATCGGAATAAAGCAGAGCAAGGACAATTACTGCAAAAAGCCTCAAGAATAGGCTTGGTGCATTTAAGTGGATCTTTTCAGCCACTTAATGAGGATACATACCATCTACTGAAGATTTAAGTAGAGATTTCAAGTTGATGAAGTATATTGTCAGAAAAAAAAGGGCAGATTTCAAAACTCCTTTTAGGTGTGGTCAGTTATTAAAATACTACCTCGAGCTACATGACAGTCAGATTTTTTCACTCCGTATTTCAGAAAATACATTATTCATTGTAATGAACTCTAAAATTTACTTGTTACATATAAAATAGGATTTAATACATTTCAGTCAAAAATATTTATGTAGTTCATGTTGGCCTGAACTTAGATGGCTTTTTTATTTCCCCCTAGGCTTCAATAAAACTTGTACATGATGCTTTGGGTGGAACTGAATTATCCCAAGCTACAGTTTTCAGAATGTACTGCAATATGCTGGGCTTGTTTCATTTCTGTGCCAGCTCATGTGCATGCTTTCTGTCTCTCACCCTGACAAGGCAAATCCCAGCAGTAATTCCTACTGCACTGTGTAAACAGCTCCCGATTAGGCTATGCTGTACCTTGCAGAGACTGATCTGTGCAGCAGCTCCACCCCTCTTTCACCAGCTTCTTGGAGCTGCGCCCCTCCCACCAGCTGAAGGGAGCCATGAGGAGCAGAGCACTGCCACTGGGTATCATAATCCCACACCAGGCACAGCAGTGACTTCCTGGAGGCCCAAATGCATCTCTCACTGTGTACCTCCTTTTCTAACTTCCCCTTCAACCACTATAAGTAATATCAACCAACACTGCACACTGGGATCAAGGCTCACTGGAGAAACGTAGATATGTCACAAGGTGGGAAGAATGGCAACTTTCATTTTCAAGGCACTATTATAAAAGATCCTATCTGTTTTTTGTTGTTGTTGTTGTTTTTTTTTTTTCCTTTTAAATCTCTCCACCTTTGGGACTCTAGGAGAAATATGAACCATTGCAGGAATACCTGGAATAATGGATGTCCTATGCACCCCACTAAAATATTTTTCCCATCACATGTTTGCAGTTTCTAAGTCTGTACAGGTAAATCTAAGGATATAAATTATCTCTTAGTAGCCTTAGCAATTGTAAAAAGAAATCAATTATGAACAAAATTCGAAATACCTAGGCTAGGGGACAGAAATTAGTGCAGTCATCTACTAAGTTATCTGCCATTCATACAAAGCATTGCCATCTTCCTTTTTGTCTTGTATATATACAATGCTTTTCAGGACATTTACACAGATATAAAGGCCAAATCTATATTAACAAGACAAGTTCAACAGACAGCTAACAGATAGACAAAGTACTCAGCAATCAGGCAAATATATATATATATATATATTTAGTTGCAGTAACTAAAATCTCGTAGCTTGGAATCAAAAGATGCAGACAGAAACATGATTTGAAGTCCTAAGACTTTCTCTAGTCCACACCACGCCTCTCCCATTTCTGTATTAATTAACCACACTGTATGTCATGATTTTGAATTTTGTTATGCTGTCATTTATTTGTTGAAATGGCACAGATCCAGCTAGCTTCCTTTTCCTTGCTTCCTCACATTTACCTGTGAGAAAATTGCGTAATCGTCCAAATTGTACTTCATATTGCTGTGGCTCCGGCAGGCAGGGAGCTGCAGACACGACGTTGGCACAACCAGATTCAGATTGGACTGTGAAATAAAATAAATAAAATTAGGATTAAAGGAGTTTTGCATGTGTGCTTGGAAAAAAAACTCATAAAATCCAAGGTAATGCAGCCACCAGGATGACATCTTATACTTCATACTGTCCAGGGAGGACACTGTCGTAAGCACCAAAACAAGGCATTTATTAAATTTAATCTAAAGAGTTATACAACTCAGACAGATCACAAATGGAAAACTAAACTGATTTTTTTAATTTAAAACAAAGCTTAGCAACTCATCTGCTTGCTCTTCCCCACCCCAAGCACATTTTTAAGCTTTCAGATATGTTGAGTTCACAAGAAACAGTGTAATGTTGTCACAGATCCCTTTAGAGTTTTAAAAGACATTGGATGGTTTTACAACTTTGCACTCAGAAAGAGGAAAGCAATTTCTAACTTCCTGCAAAACAAAGTCTCTCCTTCAGCTACAGCCACCGCCCATCAAGACACAAGGTCTGCAGTAACCCTACCTCAGAGCATCAAGGTAATCTCAGAGGGTATTAAACTGATTCTGGAATCAGCATCAGCTCTTGTAAATGTGGTTCTGTTCCATCTAGAAAGGAAATTACTTATTTCTCTGGCACAAAACCCTTGCTCTTCTGCTAATGCCCTAGAATCTGCCAGGAGGCTTTGTGCAGGTTTATAGACATTCACCTATATAACCCAGGCAAATAAAAATACTGGGAATTAGAAACACTAATAACAAAATCTGCATTCCTAAATTTTTACTGATGTATTTAATTCTTCTGTTCTTGCAAGAGCAGGACAAATCAAAGAGCTTTGTTTTCCTCTTTTTTTTTTTTTTAAATAAACATTCATAACTGTTTTCTCCTCCATAATACTTATTTTCATTATTCTCCCTTTCAACTTCTTCAACTTCTTTCGGCCTTCCTGCCTCCCAGCCCCTTTCATCCTGTCTCTTTTCCTTCCTATTCTTGATCGATCACTTTTTTTGTTCAAGCATTTGGCTCACGCAGAGGCACAGATAGCCTTGGAAGTCTATAAACAACATCATCAAATTTTCACGTGCTCAAGAGAGAGGCCAGCCTCCAGCTCATCTCAATGCGTCTAATTAGAAAGAGATCAACTCATGGCATGCACACAGCCCATCACTATTCTTCCCTTCACTCTGTATCCCTGGCTCTTAGAGAAATACAGAAGATGCATTTACTGACTCTCCAGGGAAAGCTGAATTCATCTTAAGCAACAGAGAGCTGGGCAGTGCTTGTCTTCTCCCCATGGGAAACACAACTAACGACTCCAGTACCAATAGTCTATCTTCTAGCAAGTCAGTCTCAAAACAAACAAATACAAGCTGTTAAAAGATACACATACACTGTACTTTCCACAGCCTGGCTGCTTCACAGGCTCCATGTTGATAAGAATTCCAGGCTTAGAGTTTTGCATCAGAACTCAGAGCATCAGTTTATAAAGAAAACAACTTTAAAAAACAAAACCAAACATTTATGTAATGCTACTTATTGGTATTAAAGCCTAAATTAAAAAATACCTGCCACTTGGGCTTATAATTTAATATAATCAATATTAATCATAAGGAAATAAAGTCATGTAACAATTCAGAAACAATTAGCAACAGTTTTCAGAGTCACTTGGGCCACTCGTGGAAAAAGCAAAGGACACCAGAAAAACAGAAAATACAAGGGTCTCTCTTTTGTATGTAAGTCTCTGGCACTGCATAAGAGTCAACTCTCTGCAGAGCTTCAGTAGCCTTTTTTCAGCAGGAAGGGGCATGACTTTCCATCCAGCTTGTGCCACAAAGCACAGTGTCTGTCCTCAGCTTTATGAAGCACTCCCTACATGTCACCTACTTAACTTTCTTTCTGTAAGTAACATAATTCCAAAATTAAGATGCCCTTCATGCTTTAGAAAGCAAAAATTGATCTTCAGCTGCCTATCCTAGAGCAGACTGACTGGATGGCCATCAGCCTCTGCACTTTACTCAGTTAAGATGCTAGAGTTTGATCCTACCAAGCACACAGCAAACAAGCCCTAACCTAGCAGCCAGTGACAGCAAGTTCTAATCTTTTTCCTTTCCAAAACTCTTGCCCAGTTAACACTGCTAAAGGGATCAAGAGCTCAACAGCTCCCAAAACAAAAAAGTAAATATTCAGGTGTTTTTTCTCCTGGTGGAAGAAAAACACTTGCCACATTCCCCTTACACATCAAGAGATCTACACTAGTTTCTTCTCCACTTTCCCTAGTGGCCATAAGTGCAGCTATTGGAAACATCTGCTCCCTGCCTTCACTTCCTGTAATTGCAGCCAGTTAAGCAACCCGCCAGCAAATTCCAAGGAACCCGTTCCTGTTTCAGGAATCCCAACAGCACCCTTCTGGTCTCCTGTTTCTGCTAAGGGGGAACAAATGCAGGGATACTGTAATACTGTTTCATAGCAACTGCTTCTCCTTCGATGCAAGTGTGATTAAGTAGAATTTTACATTAATTCTGAGTCTTAAGTATTGATAGGATACTATGGACAATACTGGAGAAACCTGTTCTTAAGTTTCTTTTTCTATCCCTCAAACACTCTTCTAGTTTATTAAGAAATATGAAACAGTCAAAAGGAAGCTCCGAGCTGTATTTTAGTGCAAAAACCATAACTGTATAATTATAGCAAGCGTGGAGAAGGGCTGAGGAGGCTCTGGAGGATGACAAAAAGAAACATCAAGACAAAACAGAGAAACAAAACTATTTAAAACAAAAACTAGTGGACACTTCACTCTGAAAGGAGAAATCAGAATTGAAGACAATAGTAGGCAACTCTGCCATTTCTAGAGACCAGCTAATTTAGAATGCAAACAATGGAGAGAGCTGAACGGAAAAAGTAAGGTGAGTTTTGTTAAGGACAAAACAAAATCATCTCCAGAAAAAAATATTTTATTGCTTTCTCTGAAATAAAGCTGTGCTAGCTTCAGAACCTGGCCAGCTTTTATTCAGCTTACAAAACTAGAATGACTGTAGCAGAAGTATTTTCAGCCTGTTTTGTCAGGATAAATACATGCTAGGATCTTCTCTTTCAACAGAGTCATTTGCAGAACTGCAGCATGTTCACTGATAGCTTACTACCAGCATGTTTGACATGGAGAAATAGTAAGCAGTAGAATACACGATAGCAGACTATTTTCAGTTCTAATGAAAATTGATGACTAAGTTCTGAATCATTAGCCACAAAACCCTTGCAATGGCAAGAAGATACAAGCTAATAAGAAACTTAACAATAATATTTGGTGAAAGATTAGTAAAGAGGCAAAAATCAATCACAAACAATCATGCTTTACTTAGGTCTTTTCACATGATGCAATGTGGGAAAGCAAGGACTTGCAGTCCAGTTCAGCTCTACTTGTCCTTCAGATACTCTGTACGCTCCTGGTATCAATTAGTTCCAAGTTCTAATCCCATTTCAACCAACCTTTCTACTCTTCTTTTCCCTAAAACCTCTCATCAAAACCAAAACCAATTTGCATTTCACTTTGGTTTCATTTCTTCCCCATCCTTCCAGTATTACTTCAGAGAGTTGCAGCAAGTGTCTGCCAACTTTAAAAACAGCAAGGAAATGAAAAATACTGAGAAGGTGCAAGTCCATTCTAATAACAAAGCATTACTCAATTTCCTTCAGGCTCCTGCAAGAGTCAGCCTACACATTTACCCATACATCCCTCATCTTAGGACTGTAAATACAGCAAAACAGTTGAAAGGTGGAAAGAGCCATTTTGGCATCCATCTTTACCCAGGTACAAGCACAGAGTTATACAGCAACCAATGTTTTCTCAAATTAAGCTAAGTAAATCATGTCTTTGCCACTCTCAGCTGGGGATACTGTTAGATCATAAGCAGATCAACTAAAAAAAACCCACTTTTCCACTTGTGCTTTCACCCCAAGTTCAACCTTGTATTTTTCATTACTTTTAAACGTAAATAGTGTTTACAACCTCCATATCACTTGCATCCTTTCAACATTTGTACCCGCACAAATACCACCACAGTTTATTTTAACATAAAAAAGATAACATAAAAAAAAGAAAAACTACAATTATTAGTCTGCCTGGTCACAGAAACAATTTGGAACAGCAAATAGCATAATAGAATCCAAAAGTCTTTAAGAAAAAGGAGACAGTTTATTTCTCTGCACCCTGCCTCATCAACTGAAGGGTTTCTTTTTCTTTTTTCTCCCCCCTCAAGTGACACACAGGAGCTTTTACAATTTGAAATATGACAAACCCAGAGAGAAAAAAACAGCCTGTATCACTTCCATTTTACATGACATAGCCCTCCTAGAGCACAAAGGCACAATAGATTTTCCTACTTCTACTTAATCTCTCCTGTAGGCTCTTCTAATTTTGGTATCAAAGTTCCATTACTCACCACACTTATGTTTTCTAGGATATAGCGTACATATTTACCACTATCCAAACCCAATGTTCCACAGCCCATGCATCTCAATTTTTTATGCTTCTAACTGTATTTTCATTCTTTGAAATCACCTAACTCACTCCAGGTTCATAACGGTAAATTTCCTTCCAAAGGAAAGCTTTCCATACATACAGGTGAATTCATTTAGCTTTACCAAGACACACAATCATGCTTGCTGGCAAGAAGCACTCATGGAAAATAGCAGGATTACCTGTGAGATTAGCTGCCATCTCTTCAGCAGTCTGACACAGCCTCAGCCCTTGTTTTAGGGGACCTTCTGAGTCCACATACTGACGGCGCTTGAGGTAGCAGGACACTGCCATCTGAATCTGTTCTGTGCGTACGCGTTTCATGACCTGGAAAGAAAAGAAAGAGATGATGGGCTGTTACTGTGGAGATATCTGCTGTAGCTGTACTACAGCTGTACTACATAGGGAACAAATGGCATTTTCATTGCTGAAGTTAAACAACTATTACTGAAGCACAAAATAAAGCTTGTGGGCATCTCTCTCAGTACCAAGGTGTAACTACATGCTTTGAATCAACTCCCTGAAGATATTTTGCTGCTTAATTCTATTGATTTTGCTTGGAAATCAAAAATACCATTGAGGATTCCACACTGAAATGGCAGTGATCAGTCAAAGTATTTGATTTTGTTAAAATAATTCATAAAAAGGAAAGGTTTTTCCTCCTTGCTTTTTACACTAACAGTAACTACAGTTGTGTGCTGATTTTTCTGCTTAAACAACCAACAAAATGACACCAGAAGAGCCAGGGGAATAAGAAATTAATATAAAAAGGTGGAAATTTCAGAATAGTCATGCTTTAAAGAGTCTACCTATTTCACTTATTTGGGGAATCAAAGAAGCAACAGCTTATAGCCTGAATTTACAGGTCAGGGCCAGTGTTCTGTTGCCTCAGTCAGATATGTTTCCAGAAAAAAATAAACAAAAAAGAAAAAGCCAAAGCCTTTTACACCTGCTCCCATCCATGTAGACTTACCACATACATTAAAAAAAGATCCTCAAAAGTTTCTGCTAAGTAAATTTTGAAAGCCATCCTCACAAGCACCACCTGGTTGCACCTCGAACCTAAAAGGAGACTGATGCTCACTTTCAGCCTCTGGCTTTTAACAAAAGCCTCAAGAAGGGGAATGGAACAGCTCTCTTCTATCTGAGTAGTCACCAACTGCCATCAACCTTTAGGCAACAGCCATGGATTCTACAGGAAATTTAGATAATCTAAAAGGCCTTATATAAAACAGAACCAAGCAACAATTTCATTCTAGCAAAGCAACAGGTACTGGCTGCCTCAGAATAGCTCTACATCTTGCAGCCCCACCACTGAAGGCCAGCATACATTTTGCATGTGCACACACTCCTGGTTTGAGCAGCTAAATGTGATGAAACGCAGCTTTGCAGAGAATCAGGCACGGACGACCTTTCTTCCCTCTTCCAAGAACTGTGTTCCTAACAAAATGCCAGCTAAAGAAGCAGGCCATAGCCTAGCCTTCTCCAGTACCACACACGTCTGTGCTTACCCCAGCTGTCAGAGCAATGAGCTATCTGAGAAGCCCCAAGTAGACAGAGATACAAGGTTTTAGCATAAGTCACTTCAAACACATAGGTGGAACTGCAAGCCCTAATGCTAGGGGGAAAACTTTAAAGGGATTTCCACTTGCTCTCAAAGATGAAGAAACCGCTGATGATGGGGAAGGGGACACTGACACCTCTACGTTTTGAGAGCATTCTCAGATAGATCTATTAAAATTAACCAAAACTTGTCCCACACCAAAAACAAATTTCCTTTTAACCTTCAATTAAATAAATCATCTTGATTTATGCTGTTACAAATGCATCCTCAGCACGTCCGCTGATGATATGAAGCTGGGAGGAGTGGTTGACGCACCAGAACACTGTACTGCCGTTCAGTCAGATTTGGACAGGCTGGAGATAAGGGAAGGGAAGAACCTGATGAGGTTAAACAAGGGCAAGTGCAGAGTCTTGAACCTCAGGAGGAATAGTCACATTCATCAGTATATTTAAGGGCTGAGCTGCTCTGCAGGGAAGGACCTGGGTGTCCTGGTGGACAGCAGGTTGGCCATGAGCCAGCAGTGAGCCCTTGTGGCCAAGAAGGCCAATGGGATCCTGGGTTGCATTATAAAGAACGTGGTCAGCAGGTCAAGGAAGATGATCCTCCCCCTCTGCTCTGCCTGGTGAGGCTCCTCAGTTCAAGAAAGACTGAGTCTTTCTTACTTTCAGGTGACAGTGCAGCAGGACAGAAGTCTTCCCCAGGAAACCCCTTTGGGCACCAGGCTCAGGCCTCTTACTTTGCCATCACCCCTCATCCTTAGCACCAGAAAAAGCAATGCCACAAGAAGCAGGGAAAGCTTCGTGGTGAAAAGTGGATCGACAGTGCAAGAAAAGAAAAACAATACTGCTACAAATATTCTTCACCAAGCCCTAAAAAACAGGGTTTATCATAAAGCAAACATAAGAAAGGGCTGCCCAAATGCCATGAATATGCTCAAGTAGAGCACACTCACAACAGGTCAATGATGCAGAACTGAAGGGCAAAAAGGACACATCTGTCCCCTGGACCTCCACATCATGTCCATGCCCAGCTCTCAGAGCTGAAGAGGACCTTCAGGGTGTGCACACAGCAACCTTGTGTTGCTTCCGTGCCTGCAGGAAGCCTGGAGCACTCCTTCATTAGTCTCAGCTGCCTTGCTCCACCCAAACACCCCGAGAACGATAAATATTAGCACCATTAATTATTTTGACTGATAAGCAAAATACACAAGGAAAGAGGAGAACGATCAGCTCAGGAGCCTACACAGCTACAGCACAGCCTCTTTTGCACAGTCACCAGTGAGAGCACACAAAAGGGACATTGAGCTGCTGCTCTTTGAGGAACCAGAGCACAGAAGCCCACATAATGCATCGTAGGTTCCTCTTTCTTAGAAGAGCTGGAAGTTGGCCGTGCGTTGAGCACTGGGTCGGGAGAATTCGCTTCCTGCCACCCAGGTGCAGGTTTAGGCAGATTCCATGGCCCTTTAGTATCACAGCACGGATGGAGGGAAGCTGGAGGACTGCTGCTGGCAGCGCTGCTGCATGGGGCTCTGCCCTCCGTCCTGCCCCGGGATGAGGCACCAAGGATCCTAAAACACCTCCCCGCAAGCTCTGAACTATTCAACTCGTCCAAGATTTACAAAAGTTTCAAAAGAAACAAGATAACGGCCGACTTGGGTTAGGAAAACCGCGGCCCCAGGTGGCCGTGGGCCGGGTGCTGCGGGCAGAAAGCAGACAGGCGCGATGCGAAGCGCGCCCCGACCCCCCGCGCGGGGCGCAGGTCCGGCTCCCTCCCTGCCGCGGGCTCGCACCGCCAGCCCCACAGAGCTGCTTTCGCTCCCCCCCGCCCCCACGGCACGACCCCCAGCCCGCACACTCACCCCCGGCGCCCGCCCCTCCTCTCGCGCCGGCTCCCAGCGCCCTCCCGCCGCAGCCCCGTCCGCGCCCGAGGGCCACCCCGCGGCCTCCCCGGGGCCTGCGGGGCCTCCGCCACGAGGCGGCCCGCCCACGCCCGCTCCCGCCGCCGGGCGGCGCCGTTCCGCTCCGCTCCCGCCCGCTCCCTCGCTCGCTCGCTCCCCCCCCCGGCGCGGCGCGGGCCGCGGCCGCCACTTACTGAGCATCGCAGGCGGAGGCGGCGAGAGGCGGGAGCCGGCCGGCGGGGCCGGGAGCGCTGTCAGTGCGCCCAGCCGCACTGGGCGGGGGCGCCGCCGCTGCCGCCTCCCCTGTGTGCCGCGGGCGCAGCGGCCGGGGTTGCCTGCGGGCCGGCGGCCGGCGGCGGCCGCTCCATGGCCGCCTGACACACGCCGCGGCGGGGCGGGGGCGAGCGGGGCCGGGGAGGCCCGCGCGCAGGCGCCCTCCGGCCGCCAATGGGAGCCGACCGCCCCGCGCCGCCTCCCCGCGCTCGGCGCTCGGCTAGCGGGGCCTGGAGGGGCGGAAGCGGCGTGGGACGGCCGGCCGGCGTGGTGCGGCGCGGCGAGTGCCGCGCGGGAGTCGGGGGGCCGGGGCTGCGAGGCCGCCGCTCTTATCTCCGCCGGACGTTTCGCCCGGCCGCGTTTCTTCTCCGTTCGGGGCCCGCGAGGCGTCCTCATGGCGGCCATCTACTCCGGGGTTCACCTGAAGCTGAAGAGCGCCAGGACCCCCTGGGAGGACAAGCTGAAGCTCGCTCGCTTCGCGTGGGTCTCCCACCAGTGCTTTCTTCCCAACAAGGAGCAGGTAAGCGCGGTTTGGTAGCAAACGCGGGCAGAACCGGCGTCCCCAGCGGTGACGGGGACGGAGCTGATCTTGAAGGTCTGCACAACCTCCGTGATTCTGTGATTGTATGAGTCACGGAACCCAGAGCTCGCTGCTTAGCGTGCTCCTTAGTGGTGGTGCGGGCCTAGCTCTACGTGTCCCGTGTGCAGGGAAAGCACGGCGCTCTGCCTGGGAGGTTGTTTTGGTGCTGTCTCCTTGGAACTTGCCCTCTTCTTAGTTGTTTCTTTTTCCCCCTGGGCTGAAGTTCTGGTTTCCCTGAGCGAGGGCTGCTTCGTGCTGCTCCTCCAGCCCAGAAGCTCGGTGGGAGCTGTGCTTTGCACCGCCTGAGAGCAGCTTGAATTCCTGTTATTTCAATTCCTTATAAATTATGGTGTAGCCCTACACCATATTTTGAAATCAGCAATTTAAATTACTAGTCTTCAGCCTCTTCCAATTTGTAGATCCAAATTCCGAGGCTTCAGTTTCGATGTAGTAAATTTAAACCTACCAAGAAGAGGATATCAAAAGTACCCCATGTATTATCTGTGTTTGCAAGTTTGTGATTTAAAAGATTACCTTTATTCCTTAGTGTCACCCATTAGAACTGTCATCTCAGCTGAAAGAGCTGATGGAAGGACTTCAAAGTGTTGACTGTGCTGTGAAGGTCCAGGGGAGCACAGGGCCAACACTGGATTTAGAATGAAATGTCCTATGATTCAGGTGGTGACTGAAACCTTCAACAATAGACTTTTCTGCCCATTCAAAAGGTTTCTGTTTGGAGGTGAGAGCTCTGTTTGGAAGGAGAGCTCTTCTCAGGGACTGAGTGTTGTAATTGTGATTAGGTACTAGTTTTGTCATATTTTCACGTTTGTGATTTTTTTTTTCTCCCCCATTTGTTAACAGGTATTACTCGATTGGGTAAGCCATACATTGGTATCATACTACAATAAGAAACTTGAACTGGAGGATGAAGTTGTTGAGAAGCTGTGGGCATATCTAGACAATGTTATCCGTAGTAGAAGGCTACAGAATCTTTTGAAGAGTGGGAAGACGATCACTCTCAGCTTTTCAATTGCACAGGTAACTAAAATGATGGGTATTTTGTAATGTACTGAATAGCAATGCCTGTCTTCTACAATATGTGACCTTTCCTCACAGGATAGAATGTTACATGAAATAAATAATAATTAACCTGATGTTTTTTAGGACCTATATTAAAAACTCTTCTATTTCTGTTCTGCAATATGGTTTGTATTTGTGTGGAACTAAGACTGAAAAAGGCAGAGGATTCTAATAATAAATTCCAAGTTAATCTGCCCCTCTGTCTTTCACATCTTCAAACTATCTGAGTGGCAACTGAATTAAGTATTTAATTCAGGTAAGTAAAGGTATGGCTTTCTTGTATGCTATTTAATGTTTATATTACCATTTTGCCTGGGAGTCTTAGGAGTTTTTTTTCCCTAAATGAGGGGTTCCTCTCTGCAATTTTCATGAGTAGTTATGCACTGTGATGTGCTGTTCAGAGGACCCAGTCTCAGATCTTGCAGCTTTTCATGATGACTCTGAATGAGTTGTACTTTTGATTTCCCCTTCCCCTGTGAACTTTGGGCCCTCTCTCACTCCCAACAGACCAGCTTGCAGTACTGTCATGTCCCCATCTGTGCCTCTCTGGGAGAGGCCTGTGGGAGCTTTAACCAGCATTCCTTGGTGTCTGTCTCACCTGTGTTGTGTTTCTAGCCCAGTTCTCCCCAGTTTCTTTTCACTGGAAGAACCTTGCATGCTAGATACGTGAATCTGGATGCAAATTATTGTGCTGTGCTGTTTGTCTCACAGCTTTTCCATATTAATTTTTAGTTTGCTCACTGTGAATTGAGTTAAACCAATTTAGTGGTGGCATCAAATCATTATTGAACTTAATTACTTTGTTATTTTAGACTCAGATGAAAATCTATGAAGGAGACTTCAGTTACAATTTAACTAAGTTCAGAATTGAACCAGAAAGTCTAACTTATTATTTCAACATCCTGGTTACAAAAATGACAGAACTCATGGATGGCTGTTGGAGACAGTCAAAGTGGCTGAAGAAATGACCTCTTCAGTTGTGCAGTGATTGGAAGGAAGCATGGGAAAGCAGTCATTACTGGCTGGAATTGAGTTGTGAAATACAGAAAATTGTTTGAATGAGAGGGGAAGTGGAGAAAGTGTACTGATTCAACCATGTACTGAGTGTGAAGATGTCTGACTGAAGTTTGGTTGAGAACTGTAGGCCAGGATGCTATTAAGACAAGATTATTTAGAGGTGAGAAAAGGGAGCAGATATAAAGGGGATCAAAGGAGAAAACAGGGAAATCAACACAAAGTTTGAGAAAAGGAAGGGAAATGGAAGTTCAAGTTAAACTTGTTTAAATAAACTTAGGTAAAGTTATTTAGAACTATCTCTTAAAGAAGAGAGAACACACTGCTTCAGCTTCCCAGTATTAGCACTGGAAACTTTGGCTCCTATTGGAATGCATTGATGATATTTAGCCATAGAGATTTTTGCTTGTGGTGGACTTCTTGAATCAAAGAAAGTGTATTGTGTGCGCTTGTTTGTTTGTTTGTTTGGAACATAATTTAGGGGACTTAACAAGGAGAGAGGGAATTTTCTCTACCCCCCCCATTCTGCAGGATTACTACTAGCATGAAATATGCAAAGTGTGTGCTATTTCTGGTAACATCTGTACTGAATAAGGGACTCCTGGATTGCAAACAAATGCTCAGACACAGTTCTGGCCAGATGAACTTCTAGTTTGAGACCTCTGATGTGAGAGGCCCAGCAGCAGCTGTTGGCAAGTCCCTGTTCCTTTTTTCTTGCTTCCAGAGCTCACAGAAGAAGTTGTTGATTCATTATGATGAGCTTTGTCTTTGTGTACAAAAGTGATTGTGATTTTTTTTTTTTTTCCTTTCAACATTCAGGTCATAAATGAAAGGTTATCGGAGGCCTGCTCTAAAAAAAATCAACAAAACATTGGCTCGGTGCTGAGTTGCTCCAGTGGCATCCTTTCTACTCCTTCACTCTCCATCATTTACACAGCAAAGAGTGAGCTCTTAGTTGACCTCCTCAGCAAGCTTTCTGAGCTGGCATGTCAGCAGCTGGCTTCGGAAGATGCTGTGGGCTCCCAGTTGTTCAGCATCCTCCACCTTACCTTTGTACAATACCTCCTGATCCAGCGGCAGCAAACCAACCCAAACCGTGTGTTTGGACAGGTGACAAGCCACTTGCTCCAGCCATGTCTGCTACTGAGGCACTTGCTGACCACACGGAGCTGGACACAGTCAGATGACAACCACGTGCGTCAGTACTTGAGCAGGGAAATCCGAAATCAAGTAGAGACATTGCTGCAGTCTGGATTATTCCAGCCTGAGCTCTTCTCGTCCTACAGAGAGGAGCTGCTGCCAGAACGGGAACCTCAGGAGAAGAAGAAAGGAGCTTTGAAAAATCTCTTGCTTCCAGTAAACACTGTGCAGACCAAATTGAGCAGTGGCTTTTGTGAACCTGCCATTCATGGACCAGTTGTGGCTAGTGCAGTGTCCCTGCTATATAAACTCTTTCTGGACTCATACTGCAAGGCAGAAAACCACCTTGTGTGTTTCCACATGCTTACCAGGCTTTTTGACTGTCTCAGGCTCTCTGGCCTACAGCAGAGCGTGGGGGAGGACATGCTTTCCCCTGCAGACTGGAGCACAGAGCTCCTTGCTTTGGAACAGCTTCTGAACTTGGTGCTTAACAATGATATCTATAACATTGCCAGTGACCGCATACGGCACAAGGAGGTACAGTTTGGGTTTTATTGCAAGCTGGCACAGATGTTGTTGAGTCACTCCCAAGCTTCCATTCCAGCTTGGTTCAGGTGCCTCAAAGTCTTAATGTCATTAAACCATCTTATAATAGAGCCTGACCTGGTTGATTTAGTAGCCTCTGCTTGGGTTGATGCAAAGGTGTCTGAGCTACGTGCAAAGAAGCCCCAGGAGGCTCTCATCAACACCATGTTTCAGACATACTCCAAGCTGCGGCAGTTCCCACGGCTTTTTGAGGAGGTTCTGACAGTCATTTGCTGGCCAGCTGTTGATGAGCTGAGGCTGCCTGTCTTGTCTGCTGGATTGACAGTGAAGCTTCGTGAGTGCCTCCTTGAGCTGCCACCCAACCAGATTCTGGACATTGTGTGTCTCTTAGTGGAGAAATGCCAGCTCCTTATTCCTGCGGTTGAAAGATCTGTTGATATGGCCTTGAAACTGATGTCATTGAGCTCAGTGCTGCACGCTTTTCTGTTCAACATGAGGAGTTTAGATGATGTCACTCCTTCCCCTGTGGTTCTTCGTATGCAGAATCTGCTGGCCAAGATGCAACAAGGAGTAATTTGTCCGCTGATAGAGCTGCTGAAGGCTCCTAGGAGAGAGGAAGAGAAGCCAGACCTTTGGCTAAGAAAGGCCAGTGACTCTGCTCTCCTCCTTGTTTACACTTGG